AGTTTCTCCCTGAGAAAGCAGGTTTCCCACCGGCCCCGGCTCCCCCGTGAACCCCGACTCCCGGAGCTGCAGCCCTGGAGTCATGTGCTGAGGCTGCTCTCGAGAAGCCCCGTGTCAATCCCTCCTTTTCCATTCAAAGAAACTGAGTCAGAGGGCAAGTATCTTGGCTAAGTCCACATGGCAAGGTCAGGAGTCAAAGGTCAAACCACCTCCTCCATTCTGCCCAGTGCTCCCTTAGAGAAGGGAAACAGCGGCGTGGGGATGACAGAAGCACAGAACGTGCCTGTGCTTAGAATCAGCAGAACTGTATCAGAAAGTCTTCTTTTAAGAAGGAAATGTGTTTTTATAATCCTTCTTCTACAGCTGGTGGGAAAAGGTCCTTCGGGTCCCCAAGGAGTCTTAGGAAAACCTCCATTAAATTCTGGTTTTCAGATCGGCCTGAGTCATAATAACCATAATAAACCCTGAGAGCATGTTTTCTTAGCGTTCTCCTTTAGTGTGGGAAGGGAGAGCAGGAAAGGAATCAGCACACATTACAAGAACACGAAGATGTGCCAGTCGGGAAGGTGCCATCCCGGGCCCTGCCTGGCCACCTCCTCCTGTCCAGCCAGGGAGCCAGGGCAGAGGCTGGATGGGTACGGGGACTAGGTGGACATAGGCGGCCTCCACGTGGAGTCATGCTCTCTCCCACAGGGGACGTGGCCGTGCTGCTCCCCTGCCTGGCACACTTTCCCGCTCTGACCCTGCCTGCCCCCACCCCCGAGTCTGGGTCCTCTCGGGCATAGCTGGGCTGTTGCTGGAAGTCTCTACTTTTGCTCCTCACACAGATACTATTTGCACGACCCACTTAACCCCAGGGGTCCTCTGCTGCCCAGTGAGCTTGGTTCACAACATGGTGACTCGGGGCCAGTGTGCTTGGCTGGTGCCCACCGTGCTGGGTCCGAGAAGTTGCCTTGGAAACCTCAGGCTTTGCAGAGACTGCTCCGCTGCTTCTCTCAGCCTGGGGCCAAACACAAGATCCAGACGGAACCTCGGATGCACCACTGAGCAGATAAAGTGGGTCCAGAGGCCAAACCCCTCCCCCTCTGTGGACCCTGGGGGAGGAGAGGGCCTTAGAGGGGACCCCACCCCACATAGGTCCAGTTTCATGGCTTCTCCCCATGGTAACTCTGTAGCACCAGCCCCAGGCGGCAGTGCGGTGTGCTGAATTCATCAGAACTACAGTTCTCCCTTGGAGCTGCTCTAAGATCAGAGTAAACGACCTGCAAACGCGTTCTCGGAGACACCGGTGACACCTTCTATCCGCACATCTCCTGGCAGGCAGGCTGGTGGCTGCTGCCAGGCACCTTGTACTCGGGGACTCTTCAGTCCTGGCACCACTGGGGTAGTGTCATCATCCCGCCCGCCTGACGACATCCAGACGACCCCGTGAAGGTCAGGCAGCTTCCCGAGGACATGGCTCGGGGAAGCAGAACCAACAGGGGTGGGTGCGCTGCCAGCCACCTGCCACTCTCACTGCCTGTCTCATGAGACCCAAAGGTGTCCAGCAGAACCAGGAAGTGCTGATGTTGGACCCGGAGCACCGGCTTGCAGTCTAGACACTGCCGGCCCAGAGCTGGGAGCAATCAGGTCATTCCCAGCTGTGATCCAACAAAGGGAAAAGCTCTCCACACACCAGCATTGGCTTTTGTTGTTTGGTTCTTGTTTACTTTGCAGCGGGGGCTGGGGAGAGTCCAGGGTCTTGAGCAAGCTAAGCGGCGGAGTCCTGCTTCTGCACCACACCCAGCCCCGAGCTGTCACTAAGGTCTTGACCCCCTACCCCAGCCCCCAACATCTGGTCTCTGAGCTGTGTGCACAGCCGGGTGTGTGCCCTTGTGCCTCTCACTCAGAGGTGTGAGCAGGGCTCTGAGCTGTGGACACCCTGCCCGGGGGCTGCTGTGGGGACCTGGGGACGTGCCCTGCAGTGGGCCAGCCTCCAAGGGGTACAGGCGAGGAGGAAGCAGCCCAGGCTGCTGTCCCTGGAGGAGGAGACCTCAAGGAAGCCCAAGTGCTACACACAAAGCCAGAGGACTAGGGGAGGAAGCAAGTGAAGTTGTCATCACGTTTATTTCTTTTTTCCTCCCCCATTTCTGCCAGGGCTTCTCCTACCATCCTGCTGTCTGACTTCTGAGCCACACACACATTCCCAGCCCTCCTGTTCCCCTCACCACAGCTTGGCCAGGACCGCTTTGCCACTGCAGAGGACCTCCACGGGAGACGAGGCAGGGCCTGCGTGCGCCGCCTGAGCTCCCACCTGGGGCTCTGAGTACAGAGGGGAGAACCTTCCTTCTGGGGTATGTGGCACCCCCATGCCGCCTCACGGCCTCACCTGCCCAGCACTGCACTCCCGTCTGAGCGCTGCGATCCAGACTTCAACCAAACCAAAACCGAGGCTGCCGTGCGCTGGCCTCTGTGTTGGGGACCCCAAGAGAGCCCTGGGACACGAGGCTGCTGAGGCGAGTGCAGAGGGGACTCTCATCCAAGGACTCCAGGAGGTCCCTCCTGAAGCCACCTGTCAGGCCCCTCCGCACACCGTGTCATCCACGTCCCCACAGGAAGCACACAGCACCCTTTGGTGGCAGTTCTCGTGGGACAAGTCCCCAACTCACCACATTCACTCACGCTGGGACTGTCGGCTCTTCACACAAAAAACCCACCTCAGCCAGGCATGGGTACACACCTGCAACCCCAGCCCTCTGGAAAGCCGACGCAGGAGGATCACAACTTTGAGCTAAGACTGACTGTTTACTAACTTAGCAAGACCCAGTCTCAAAATAAAAAATAAAAAAGGGTTGTGGATGTAGCTCAGTGCATCCACTGTCTGGGTTCAGTTCTCAGTACTACAAAATAAATAAGTAAATAGATGTGATAGATAGATGGATGATAGATAGATAGATAACGGATGGATAGACAAGTAGATAGATGACCGATTGACAGATAAGTAGATAGATGATAGATATAGATAGACAGAGGAAATCCAGGCCGAAGTGTTCTGTAACTTCCTATCAATGTGTAACGCATGTTCAGAACAGTCCACACTTTCACACAGGGGGTCTGCACAGGGAAAGGGGCACCCACGTCAGGGACAGAATCTTTCCTGCCCAGAGGTGCTCCCTACGCTCCAGCCCCAGCCTCCCGCCCCTCGGATCAGCGTTGCTCCCAGGGATTAAGAATCTGTACCGCACAGGTGCACAGAAGTCTGGTGTCTCGCCCAACAGCATCTAGGGGGTCAAGAGGAGGCCCGCCTAGGGGCTCCACTTATTTTCCACCGTCCAGACACCTAACTCCTCACTGCACACGGGGAAGGTTATCTGGGTGAGAAGCACAGCCATGCGCGGAAGGTCAAGTCCGAAGGGAAAGTGAGCTGAGATAAACAAGATAGGGCATGGTAGAGTGAGAGCTACCCGAGGCCAGGCCCGGCAGGACCCACCGTGAAGGTGGCAGAAGCTGAGACACACATTGACATTTGTTCCCAAGGGAGAGTCTTCAGCCTGGCTGGTCTCAGCTCACCTCCCCCACTTCCAGGGGCACTGTTTTATGCCAAACCACCCCCAGTGCTTCTGCACTTTAGACAAGCATCACACAATGGAAGAGTAATGTGAGACACATACGTAAAGTACATGTAGCACGAAGTTTACCATGAGTGACAGCCAGCACATTCCCAGTACTGCGGGACCGACACCACCGCCTAGGTCAGGAGCATGGCCACTGCCCGGAAACCCTGTGCCCACAGCACAATCAGGTTCCAGCTCAGAGCCAGGGCAGAGGGGGTGAGAGGCCTCACACCGGCATGCAGGACAAGGCGCCCCAGGTCCCCTTCCACTTGAACGTGTCTCGTAATTGTATTAGAAAGGTAATTCTCATCATTGATTAGGTAAAATTAATCCTAATAATTAGGTAAGTTAATTCTAATAATTTAGTTTGCCCAGCAGACCTAAATGATTATCACTTCAACATGTGACCACTATAAAAATAGTGACAGATCTCTTACACTTTCTGTTTACACTGGGCCTTTGAAATCTCATGCATTTTGCACCTGCGGTGCGTCTCAGTTCAGGCTGGGCCGTTTTCAAGCAGTATGGCCTCTGGTGGCTGCAGGTGACACAGCTCGACTACATGGCTCTAAACAAGTCGTGGAATGCTATTGTTAGTGTTTAGATCAAAGTGTCCCCCAGAAGCCTCCTGCATGTGATCGAATCATGGGGTGCTGTACTCATTGGTGGATTCATCCAGGGTGAACTCAAGGCTGACTGTGCTAGGAGGAGCTGGGGTCAGGTGGGAGGAGGTCTGTCAGGTGTGAGCACCAGAGTAGGTTCTCGTCCTCAGCTCCTTCCTCCCTCCCTGCTCCCTCTCTGCTTCCTGGCTGTCATGGGACGCGAAGCTTCCCACCACCAGGGCCTTCCACCATCTGTTTCTACCTTGGAGACAACTTACCATGGACTGAACCCTCCGAAAATCATGAATCAAAATAAACCTCTCCTCCTCTGCAGTGTCAGCTATTTGGTCCCAGCTAACATAGCTATGGGTCTACTAAATCACTTCTTAAAAGGTGTTTATTGGGGGCTGGGGATTTAGCTCAGGGGCAAAGCGTCTGCCCGGCAAGTGCAAGGTCATGAGTTCCATTCCTGGTACCAGAAGAAAAACAAACAAACAAAAAAAGATGTCTATTAAGTACATAAAGATTCTAAACTATAGCTTTATTTTTAATATGAACATATTTCTTGACACTTTTTATTTTCTTTGAGGGGCCACGGATTGAACCTAGGGCCTTGAACTTAGAAGGCAAGCACTCTACTACTGAGCTAGACCACCAGCCCATTGCAACATATTTCTCAGTTATTAAAAATAATGTATTTGGAAGGTATAGCAATACAAAATATCCAAGAATAGGAAAAGCATTTTTTTTAGAAGTCTGATATCACAATGCTCCAAGTTGGAAAAAAAATGTACCATTTCACATGTTTATAACAACATCTGATTTAATATTATGCCATTTAGCTTAGTCACAAAGCAGAACAAATACTTTTGGATTTATTACATCCTTCTATTCAGCGACTTAAGTAATCACAGTTAATAATGCTGCTGTCCCACAGGCCAAGGAGAAGCCGTATAATTCTTTGCGACCTACTGAGAGACAGGTTACTTTGAAGAAGGATTTAAGGTTTTAAAGTGCTCATCAAAGCTTGAAACTCATCTTTTCCAGTTTACATGGGAAGAGCTTCCCCGGAAGCCGGGCTGAGAGGCAGGGAGAGGACACCGGGTAGCGGGTCCCCTTGCGCTCTGGGGGAGCATGGCAATCCCTCACCAGCATCTGAGCCTCACTGTGTCCTCTAAAAACAGAAAGAAGAAAGTAGACCGTGTCATTGGCTTCCATAGTCTCCAAACTGTCGGTGCTGTATTTGGGCCCCTTCATGTTTGTTGATTCATTGGAAGGCACTGGTTTTTATAAATTCACTTATTTCTTTTCATTAGTGAGTGTTTGCGGTTCCAGTGATCACACTCCTCTGTGGAGTCAGTGCGGGCACGAACACGCCCTCATTCCTTTTTCGTCCCCTCATCTTCCCCCTCCCTCACTTCTTGATCCCCTTCTCATCCTCCAAAGAGCCCACAGGCAGGCAGAGCCCAGGGAGAAATGGCGCGGGGAGAGCGGGGCATGAATCTGCGCTTTCTTGTTCAGTAGTTGGATCTCAGGAGAAGGTGAGGAGGTGGGAGCGGCCAGGACAGGGCCTGCCCCCGAGTCGGGTTCACTGGGGGTGTGGGTGGCTCCATCACTGAGGCAGTTACAGGCAGATGGTCGCTTCTGCCCCGGAGCCCTCATTCCTTACCCTTCAGTCCCTGAGACCCGCTCACTGTGCCTGTCCTCATCCAGAGGGAGCCACAGCGTCCTCTGAGGAGGAGCAGCCCCCCCCCTACCAACCGCTTCTGCACCACAGGGCTTCCTGGGCGGCCGAGTGGCCCCGACCCCGTGAGGTTCCCACATGGGTCACAGTAAGTTCTTCAAAGCCTTTCTGCCATCAGGGAGAAAATAGAAAACCTCTTCTGTTTCCATCCCAAATTATTTTCAACCACGCTGACCAGCATAACGTTGGTTCCAGAAGTAACTCTGAAAATCAAATGCTGTCAGCAAGGCACCGACGTTAAAATGCAAGACGGTACAAGGTAAATTCAGGGAAAGTAAAAGGAGAAATCAAGCCAAGCACTCTCACCTCTACTCCAGGCAGAGCTCAAAGGCATTCACCTCTGATTTCCTCCCCGCTGCGGCCTCAGCCTGGGCGGGAAGGCTGGGGCAGGGCTTGCAACCCCTGCAGTCTTTCCAGGAAGCGCCTTAGAGTTCAGACTCCTTCCACCCCAAGGCGCTCGGGGGCTCCCCTTTCTTCTTCTTCTTCATATGATTATTTTTTAATTGTGGTGAAATACACATAACACGAAATTTACCACCGTAACCATGTTAATTGCACGGTTCTGAGAACGCCCACGCCGTTGTGCAACCTCTCTGCGGAGCACTTTCCAACTTGCAGAACTGCAGTTCCAGACCCTTTCGCTAAAACCCCTACCCCCAGCTCCCGGACCCTGGCAACCACCTCCTCTGCTCCCGGGAATGGCTGCCCCAGGTGCTTCACGTCAGTGGTCCCAGACGTGCTCATCCCTGGGTGACTGGCTTCTTTCACAGCGTAATTCCTCAAGGCTCGTCCCCGCCGTAGCACATGCGGGACCCCCCTTCCTTCCTGAAGGCCGCACAGTCTTCCACTGTGTGCTTGTGTGTGCTTTGTCTAGCCCTCCCTCTACTGACGGACCCCCGGGCTGCTTCTTAATGCGGCTAAGAGCATGGGTGTTTGTGCCTCACTTTTGAAACCATCGAGAGTTTAAAGAGCCTTGGGGGTTATCCCAGCACACAGCACACATTCAGAGAGTAACCCCGTCCTCAGTCCAAGATGACATCCACCGAAAATCCTGTCTGCACAGTCCGGTGCCTGGTGCCGCCCCAAACCACAGCAGACAGAAGGGAAGAGGCTCCGGGCAGAGCCCTCTAAGGGACAGGGACATGCGCAGTTGACTGAAAAAGCTGCTCTCACTGCCAGGTGCCCATAATCCACGGGGAAGTTAACTGTGGCCCTGAGCTCCCCATTCTGGGGGTGATCGACTAGCCCCAGAGCCACCCCACCTTCAGAGGTTCTGCCACCCTCAACTCATTCCCTGGTCCAAATGAGGTCACTGTTCAACAGTGATTCTTCAACAAGGATTTCTTCCCTGCCTCAGAAGCTCAAAACATGGACACCACTAACAAAGACCAGCACTTCTGAGTGGCAGGACGGGGGGAAGCAGTGTTCATCCTGTCCCGGCTGTCCTGCCGACTTGCGGCTCTGCCAAGTGGACTGACGCAGAACGTCAGACACAGATCCACAGCAAAGGTCCTCACCCCACAGGAAGCAAGATGCCAGGGCGTGGGGGGAAATGGAATTAAAAATTTAAGACCCGCTGTCACTCAGAAACATGTTGGTTGGGCAGCGCTCTGCTAAGACGTGGAGTCTGCGTTTTGCTTTCTTTCCAAAGCTCTGTGAGTCTAATGAGAAGAATATGGCTTTAAGAACTAAGATTCACCCCATCGGGCATAATGATGTCCAGAAACTATGTGAGCAATCTGACTCGACATCCTCCAGACATTTGTATCTGTCCAGCACAAGGCCGGAGGGGGAGCAGTTCATTTTCTCAGTCTTTTGATAGCGCCTAGCCAAGATCTCTTAGCCCCACAAAAAGCTCCAAATATACTCTCTAGGACTTCAGCTGCCTTAAAATATAGACTTACATTTATCTTGGCCACATTAACGAGATCTGTTTGACCAATACATTTATATTTATGACGACTTGGGGCAGATTATGGTTGTTAAAACTTGTCCTTGGGACATGAAAACACTCCTCTGTCATTAATACATTCTGTAATATAAACTATGATGTCAGGTCAGCGTGAAGGGTAAAAACGCTCCTAAAGTATGCACACATCATTTTTTAAAGCAATTGAGCCTAATGGAATAACAAAGGTCATCATAACAAACCATTACAGTCTTCATCTTGGCAACTCCAAACCTCCAAGAAACGATCATCCTTCCTGCAGTGTTATGGCATCCAGACGACAGGGATGGCTCGCAAATGAGTCATCCGAGCTCAGATCCTCGGTAGCTGTGTGAGCGCTGGACAATCAATTATTCACGTGTTTACAGAGAGCTTTCCTGGCTGATGTTAACCAGGGCTGCTTGCAGGGAAGAGCTCTCCAGCTGTCCTCGGCCAGCTGGGGCCTCTGACTAAACTAATGAGCGGCTTTAATCGCTCAGCAAGTCACCCACAAGGTCCCCTTCCCCTACCCGAGGAAATTCAATCTCCCTGAGGCTGCATTGGGTATGAAAATATTCATCAGGAACAATTACGGTGATGCTTTCTTTACAGTGCTGCCAGGGTCCCGAGTGGAGGAGACGTCAGGTTAGGATGGCCCTGGGCTCGCCGGGACTGCCCAGGTGAAGACGCAGTTGGGCACAAAGGGAAGGAAAGGCCGTGCTAGGCCAATCTAGGGTGCTCCCTGGAGGTAGGGCAGCTGGCGGGGACCACCGGAGAGGACGCGTGAACTTGGTCAACAGCCTAATGCGGGCGAACTTGACCCTCCCGTCCGAAATGGCCCTGGTGGAAGGGGATGGATGGGAATCACTTCTCAAACCCGCGAGGGCACTTAGCACAACCTGCAGGTCCTCCCAGAAGACGAGACTGTGACTACAGCACACCCATCTCTGAGCCGCGCCACCGGGCAAGGGAACTGATGCCCCACCCAGCGGCTGTACTGGGCAGGACAGCAGGGCAGAGGCACAGCCGGGCCTGGTCTTTCTTCTCTGAGGGGCTACAGGAGGAGAAGACGGGGACTGGGGGGGTGCATTTCATCATGCTGCATCTACAACATCGTGGTTGGGAGACAGATTCTTCTCCTACTTAACATTGGGCAGTTCAAGATGCTATCGTGGGGCTGAGGGTTTAGCTCAGTGGCATAGCAGCACCTGCCTGGCAAGCACAAAGTCATGAGTTCAATTCCTGGTACCGGAAAAAAACAAAAATAAGATGCTATCGTGACCCTCGGTCAGCATGTAAGAAAGTGGCAAAGGGTGGTCTGTTGTTAGCACATGAGCTGACATGCATGTGCTGTGTGGTCAGGGCCCCTGGACCCTGGGGGATTCTGCTTCCCAGAGGAGAGGGGAGCTGGTCTGAGACGTGTGGCACCTTTAACCTTTAACCTTCTCTCCCACTCCCAGCCTTCTGTCCTGGTCAACAGGACGAGGGGGCAACAAGACGAACCTCCCAAGTAAGGCCTCCTCCACCTGCAGGGCCCTCGGCTGACTGCAGTCTTCCCATGTGTGCTGTGCCCCTGTCCACGGGACCCTGGCCCCCTCTAGGATCAGGACAATGCTCCTCAACAGACGGTCACAGTGTGACCCTTGGGAAGGGCACATCAACCCAAACACGTTGTTATCATCACTGCAGTATGGGTCTTGCTAGAACATTCCACAGGCTGCTGTGTCCAAAAAGGACAAGCCATGCCTGAGGTCCCAAGGTCATGGGCACCTGGAGTCCTCCTGGGGAGCACCTTCCCGGTCCTCAAGCAAAGTCTACGGCCAGCGCCGCTCGGAAAGTGACGAGCATTGTCCTGATCCTAGAGGGGGCCAGGGTCCCGTGGACAGGGGCACAGCACACATGGGAAGACTGCAGTCATCACAGCTCATCGGGAAGGGTGAGCCCTGATCCCAGGTTGGGGCTGAGAGCCCCTCTGTCACTTCCAGGCCACTCCCCCGTGGGACCACTTGTAAGGTGGTCAAAAATTGCAGTGAATATGAAACCATTTGAAATTAGTACACTAAAAGATACATTGCCCCTCATCCCCTCAGAATGCTCCCCCTCACTTCAAACTCCCTTATTCACAGATCTTGCCACTTCCTGAAGCAGCTCTGGAGTCCTCTTTGCTAAGTGTCTCCAGTTGCACTGCTGTGGTTGCCTTCGTTCCCTGAATGGATTCAAAATGTTTACCTCTCATGGTCGCTTTCACTGCGGGGAAGAGCCAGCAGTTGACCAGAGCAAGCTCCGGCAAGTGAGGTGGGCGAGGACACGGTTCCATGTGTTACGGGCTGCTTTTCCAGGGGCTGGCGCCCGGTGGCGGTGGCAGTCACTGTGTTCTTGAGCTCATCTCATGAAGACACTCGTGAAAGAGGACTGGTTCAGAAAACGGCACAAATGATGAGGGGGCATTTCGATGGGCATTCATGACAATGTGTCTTTAACTACATTTTTTAAAATTTAAACA